GTACAATGTAACTGTTTAGTTATAACCTTTCAACAATCTTTATTAGTCGTTAGTGGTATCGTACAATGTAACTGTTTAGTTATGGCCTTTCAAGAATCTTTATTAGTCTTTAGTGGTATCGTACAATGTAACTGTTTAGCTATAGCCTTTCAACAATCTTTATTGGTCTTTATTGGTATCTTAGAATGCTTCTAATTGTCACACACCACATGATACAAACGTTAAAAGATTTTCATACGAAAGTTGATACCCTTTGTTTTCTTCACTAAAATATAACGGATTTTAAAAATTTACACAAGGTATAACACTATTGCGTCTAAAGTAAATTGTCGGCTCATATATAGTTTTGTAGGGTTTTTCAATAACTTATAATGATAGCCATATTTTTATTGTAACATGATACATTACATACAGTACTTTAGATAGCAGAACGATCTGTACAAATAGATATATATGTTGATTATAACACGATCATAATGTTAGATGTTTTTATTTATATAGTACATGATTATATACTTGACGAGGACGCGATAAACGTTCTTTAGTTAGATTAACGAACTAGTCAGAATCCCGTATGTTCAACAGATCTTTGTCATCCCGTTAACACACAATTGTATCAGTTATGTTCGACGTTGTGTCGAAGATAGCTAGGAAATTACTCAAGCATTGTTATTATTATGAAGTCACACACTAGTCGTTCAAAATATCAAATATTTTTAAAAAGTTACACACTTCCGGTTCAACGCGTCAAGTGTTATTATGAAGCCACACACTTCCGTTTAAACCCGTCATGTATTATTATGAAGTCACATATATCCGGTTCAACAAGTCATGTATTGTTTTGAAGTTAAACACACTTCCAGTTCAACGTGTCAAGTATTATTATGAAGTCAAAATCTCCCAGTTCAACACATCATGTGTTATTGTGAAATCACATACTTCCGGTTTAACGAGTCAAGTAATATTATTAAATTAACGTGTCAAGTATTATTATGAAACCACACACTTCCGGTTCAACGCGTCAAGTGTTATTATGAAGCCACACAGTTCCGTTTAAACCCGTCATGTATTATTATGAAGTCATATATATCCGGTTCAACAAGTCATGTATTATTATGAAGTCACACACACACTTCCAGTTCAACGTGTCAAGTATTATTATGAAGTCAAAATCTCCCGGTTCAACACATCATGTATTATTGTGAAATCACACACTTCCGGTTCAACGCGTCATGTATTATAATGAAGTCACGCACTTCCGATTCAACGCGTCATGCATGTTATAAAGTCACTCACTTCCAGTTCAACGTGTCAAGTATTATTATGAAGTCACACACTTTCGGTTCAACGCATGTGTATAAGTGCAATGTGTTCTTTATTTGTTAATGACGCCGCGTTTATTCAAATGCTATTTTCATACGATTCCCATACGTTATATTCATTCAGGACTAACCTTTTCTATACAAGGTGTACAAGAAGGGAGTTCCTTACAAATTGATTGATTGTTTTTAATTATGCACAAAGCTACACAAGGGCTTTCTGTGCTCTGCCCACCACGGGTATCAAAACCCGGATTCTAGCGTTGTAAGTCCGCAGACATGCCGCTGTGCCACTGGGGGGGGGGGCTTCCTTATAAAGCATGTACCAACTGATATATGTATAAACAATTACATATTTCAGACATATCCTTGCTCATCAAAATGGGTTCGTGAAGAAACGCTCTCTATGATCCTCTGATTTATTTGTATTTGGTTAAACCAGTCCAAATGAATTTCCTCCAAAGTGATAGCTTTTATTTTCCATTGATGAAGAAAAGTTCAATAATAAGGCTATGGCTTATTATTTAGAGGTCGCGTGACGCAGCCACTTTACGAGTCGCAACCTACAAGAATGACATGTTGCGTTTCAAGTTCATATTTTGCACGTTAAATTAACAATAAACTTAGAATTAAATCTTCGTGTTAAAAAATTTAGTTTCATGTTTCTAGTCATTTTTTCATTTTAAAAAGTCCACCTCATCTGATATTTTTTTATTATACCAATTAATCTGTTTTTCATTCTTCAACTGTTTCCTTGTTTGAAGGTAGTAGAAAAAGTAAAAAAAAAGAAGTTTTTAACGCATGACAGAAGTCTCGAAAATCGGCAGCCTTGTTTTCTTGGATTCAACAATTGATCAAGTACATGAAAAATAAAAAGCGTCACCTCGTGGATTAGTCGTGAGAAAACTAAAGGCAACGTATTTAATGAGATATCACACTGAGCGGGGCGTAAAAAAAAAAATCTAATGAGCGAACTTGCTAAACGAGGCCTTGACTATATATTTTTTTCATTCTGGGAAAAGCTGGAGTTTACTTTCGGCAACCATAAATCTTATAATTGAGTACTAACTCTCCCTCACCCCAATATGTTTACTTCGAGGTTTCCGCGGTTTTCTTTTTCAAAACCTTTGTTTTTTCCTCATCGAATGCAAACCAAGGAAGCGAGCATCTACAAAAAAAAAGTTAAGCACTATTTTTCTCGGAAAGCTGGCGCTGTATGTGTGTGTGTGGCTCGGTTGATGCAAGTCCACACACACACTTGTTAGATCATTCTCCTGCTCTCTGAGTGAGTGGGTCGAAAACGGCTCTGATCTCTCATTGGCTTACGCTTTTCTGACGTCACACTCGTCAAACACGAATCTAAGAAACAGGGGTGTGGTTTAATGAGACTAGTGCAGTTGCCACGAAAATTTGCATGAAAAACAATAAAGTTGGGCGTAGCTTACCGGGGCCTTTTGGCATCACAGTTTGTCTCGGGCATATTTACTTAGGGCTGGTACTCGAGCGTTGCTAGTGAATCTGAAGCGGAACGTTCTGTTGCCAGGCAATTGGGAGTCCCACAACTCCAGTTAATCTATAGGCAGAAAGATCGGGCCTGGCAGGCAAGATATCCCCGGACCGACACTCGAGTGTTTACCTGTGACGGTGTGAGTATACTAGCCCCCTTGACTAACGGTGCACATGGTATAACGTTGTTTCTGTGTTCTGCTGTTTGATGAGAAAACACTGTTAACCAAAGGGGGAAAAAATACTACCTCAATATCTGACAACTGTATCTGTATACAGAAATATAGTTGATCTACAGGAAAAAAAAGTCACCACTAATAACTCGACGAAAACGATGCAAGTATTTAGTAATATCGAGCTTCACGTGGGTCTCTAGGTAGGAAAGGTTCTTCAAGTTTCAATTTTATTTAAAAGTTCAATGCTGTTCAATATCTAAGAAGCGGTAATCTGACGTGCAATGACGATGTTATCGCAAAAGAGCTATCAGGATGTATCATGTAGTATGAACACCATGCAGTCAATGAACAGTAACTACAATATAAATAATCCTAATGCTAACTCCATCACCATGGCTACCATGAATATGAGTTATTCTCCTCAAGGATTTGGTGCTAATGTGATGCCTCCGAATGCCATGGGAGGCATGGGGACTTCTGCAGCCATGGGGATCGGGATGGGAGGAGGATCTCCTTGCATGAGCCAGGTTCCCCAGAGCTGCCCGCTCGGAGCAGGTATGAACTCCTTAAACATGGGGATGAACGGGATGTCTGGCCAGTCCTGCGTGGGGGCTGTGCCCGGGATAAACTCCATGGTTCCCGGCCGAGATTTCACGGTCTCGGGCCATCATACCGCCTCGCCTACCGGCTCCGACCCAGGCAATGGACCAGGAGGTGGCTCAGTGCTACAGCGGGCTCGTACGGAGAAGTCTTATCGGCGCGGTTACACGCACGCCAAGCCCCCGTACTCGTACATCTCGCTAATTACCATGGCCATTCAGAATAGTCACTCCAAGATGCTGACACTCAGCGAGATATACCAGTTCATCATGGACTTGTTTCCTTACTACCGGCAGAATCAACAGCGCTGGCAGAATTCCATTCGCCACAGCCTTAGTTTCAATGACTGCTTTGTGAAAGTGCCCCGGACGCCGGACAAGCCTGGCAAAGGTAGCTTCTGGACGCTACACCCGGACTCGGGTAATATGTTCGAGAACGGCTGTTACCTACGTCGCCAAAAGAGGTTCAAATGCGAGAAGAAAGAAGCTCTAAGAAAAGCACAAAAGATCATTCAAGATGGTCCGCGAAATCGAGAACAGCAAAGTCCAGATTCCAGTTCCTCCTCTCCAGGAACGAAGTCAATCGACTCTACCACTTTTTCTGCAGATATGTCATCTCCTCCTCCAAGACACCACCAGCAACAACAGAATCCCCGCCAGCAACAGTACCATCATCCTCATCAACAGCTTATGTCTCCCAGTACCACACCTACCTCGCTTCCAAATAATCCCCCTCATCTGATTTCCGTGTCGAACACTGACAATTACAACGGTCACATACTCGATGGAGGACAGAGCTGTAAACCAGAGAGTTCTTGTTGTAGCCCCTCAGCAACAATGAATCAACACGCACAGCATACGACTGTTATGGATCATCATTCTCAGGAACAAATAGGCCTTTTCTCACGTAGTCTAACTGACATTGTATCTCTCCATACTCCTCTTTTGACCACTGGGCATCTGAAACAGGATCCACATTACAATCCTTCCAATCATCCATTTTCTATAAACAATATAATATCGAATGAGAACAAGGCTGAAATGAAACTTTATGAAATGTCTCAATACGGAGGTTACGGTCCGTTGTCTCCTCTTGCACCCAACGACACCTCCTACTACCACCCGTCTTTATACGCAGTGCACCCTTCTGCAGCTTCCAGCATATGAGTCGACCACTGACCACAGGAAAAGGACAGTTAAGTGTGGTTTTTAAATGTTTATTAAACTCAGAAAAGGGAGAGGTACAACAATAGGTAAAATGGACACTGTTTTTACCGTGTGGTCTCTCACATATATCTTCACCAATGACAGACCACCAAGACTAACTGTAGGTTGCATAAGCATTTATGTTGTACGTTTCTTTTGTTTAAATACATACGTGCAACAACAACAACAGGACAAAAAGTGTTCACACGAGAACTGAGCTTGAGTTTGGTTACGGTATATGTTATATATATATATATATATAT